GGGGGGGCGCGTGTGCGTCGCTGCTGCTGCTGCTGCCATTGCTCTCTGCGCGTCTCCCGGCACCTGCTTTGCCGTTAGGTGGTCTGCCGCGCCATTCACAAGAACGGGGGCCGAGCAACCGACCCACAGGAGACCTACAGGAAATACGATTTAGGAACATCAAGTAAGCGAAGGAAATAAATAAACAACACCCACAACAGCAACAACAACAACAACAAAAAAAGTACAAAACCGCAGCGAGGGGAATAAACGGAGCCAAGGAGAGATACGTATACATACATAACGATGAGCCTCAAGCTGTTTTCGGAGAAGGCGAACTATCAGGCCCTCAAGGCACTGCTCTGCTGCTACCATGCCAATAAGCCACTGGAGGTGTCTCTCTCCGGCACGTACACGACGCCAGTGCTCCACCACCCAGCATACAAGAAGCCCCTCTTTGCCGCAAATGAGATGGCACGTGTGATTCTGCACTACACGCCCAAGGACAATAGCTGCGGTGAGAGTTGTAGTACGGGTGGTGGCAGCCTGGCGAATGTGCCGCTGGAGGAGGAGGCGTGGATGGAGTGGGAGGCGACCACCTTCACGTGGGCCGTTCACTCCCTTTACACGCAGCGGCGCTCGTCACCCGAATCGACGGCGGTCNATGGAGTGGGAGGCGACCACCTTCACGTGGGCCGTTCACTCCCTTTACACGCAGCGGCGCTCGTCACCCGAATCGACGGCGGTCTTCGAATATTTGGATCAAAAGATTGGCGAAAACAACTGCCAAGGCCTCTGCCTTTCTGCCACAGAGGTGCAGGATGCTTCTGCTGCTTCTACCGCTCCTGCACCGTCTTTCCTCATTGACTGCATCATGTGGTGTGCGGTGCTGCCTGCGCTGTGCGAGGGTGGTCTGCTGGAGGAGAAGGAGCGCGAGCAGCTGCCGCACCTTGTCAAATGGTTCCAGTCCTTCCATGCAGCCAGGGAAGAGCTGATCGCCAGTGCCTTCGAGGCCCTCGCGGTGCAGGAGCTGGCTGACTTCTTGCGTGCACCACGCGTCTACAAGGTGTCACCAAAGGTGGACAAATGCTTCTTCGTCACAACTCCCATCTATTACGTGAATGCCGCGCCGCACATTGGACACGTGTACAGCACACTCATCGCCGACGTCATTGCGCGGTACCACAAAGTAAGGGGAGAGCGTGTCTTCGCGATGAGCGGAACAGATGAGCACGGACAGAAGGTCGTCGAGGCTGCGCGACAGAAGCAGATGACGCCGTACGAATTCACCACACATGTGTCAAAAGAGTTCAAGGACTGCTTCACGCAGATGGGGTACGAAATGGATTACTTTATCCGCACCACGAACGAGAGCCACAGTCGTGTCGTGTGCGAGCTGTGGTCAAAGCTGGAGGCGAAGGGTGACATCTACCTTGGCCGCTACGAGGGGTGGTATTCTGTCAGTGACGAGTCGTTCCTGACGGCGCAGAACGTCACTGACGGCGTCGACAAGGACGGAAACCCGTGCAAGGTGAGCCTCGAGAGCGGTCACGCCGTGACATGGGTGGCGGAGGACAACTACATGTTCCGCCTCAGCGCCTTTCGCGAGCGGCTGCTGGAGTGGTACCACAACAACCCCAGCTGCATTGTGCCAGAGTTTCGCCGCCGCGAAGTGATACGCACAGTAGAGAAGGGCCTGTTCGACCTCAGCGTCTCGCGCAAGAAGGAGACGGTGCAGAACTGGGCCATTCCGGTTCCCGGCAACCCTGATCACTGCATCTACGTCTGGCTCGATGCGCTGTCGAACTACTACACCGGCTCTCGCCTCCGCCTCGGGAAGGATGGAGAGGAGTTGCATCTGGTCGACGACCACACGGAACTGGACCGCTTCCCCGCTGACGTGCACGTCATTGGAAAAGACATTTTGAAATTCCACGCAATTTACTGGCCTGCTTTCTTGATGTCGGCTGGCCTCCCGCTGCCCAAGAAGATCGTTGCTCACGGCTGGTGGACCAAGGACCACAGGAAGATCAGCAAGTCGCTCGGCAACGTCTTTGATCCCGTGGAGAAGGCACGCGAATTCGGCTTTGACGCGCTCAAGTACTTCCTGATGCGGGAGTCGGGCTTCTCCGATGATGGCGACTACAGCGACAAGAGCATGATGGCTCGTCTTAACGGCGAGCTGGCTGATACACTCGGCAACCTCGTCATGCGCTGCACCTCTGTAAAGATCAATCTCAACCGTGAATGGCCAGCGCCTGGGGCCTATAACGACAAGGATGAGATGCTTGTGCAACTCATTAAGGAAATGCCCGGTGTTGTGGATCATTTCTTCTTGATCCCCGACGTGCAGAGGGCGCTTGTGGCAATATTTGATGTGCTGCGGGTGATCAACGGCTACGTCACCGACAATGCACCGTGGAAGCTTGTCAAGACGGACCCCGAGAGGCTGCGCACCGTCCTGTACCTCACGATGGAGGGCGTGCGCCTGGCCACGCTTCTTCTGAGCCCTATTCTTTCGGAAAAGGCTCCCATCATCTTTGACATGTTGGGCGTGCCGGTGACCAACCGCAGCGGCTTAGAGAACTTTGAGTTTGGTGTTGTGCCTGCTGGGACACCAATCGGTAATGCAGCGGGGGGTGAGGTGCTGTTCACAAAGCGCTCACTAGAGGAGCCAAAGGCTGTCTGAGTCTTTCTTCTAAGCCTCCCTAGGGGCAAGGAGAACAACGATGGCGACAACAACATGGGAATGCGCGTATTTGCGTAAGGTCGCTCGTTGCCTTTTTTTTTTGCTTTTTTTTCTCACTTTTACTCGGTACGGCACCCACATTTCCCATCACTGTGGAGACAGCAAGTGAGTGCGCTTAAAGATAGGAGAGGATGAGAAGAAGTGGAATGAAACGGAAGGAAAAGTGAGCTTAACTGAAATCATGCGAAGGCACTAGCCGAGAAGTGATTGTGGAGAACAAGGTATCTTGTATCCATCGTTTGTTCACAGACATTTGGACACGACGTAAAAGACAAAGAAGAGGGAGACGGCGGAAAATAGCCCCGAACCAAACGAAAAAAAAAAAAAAAAACAGTGCAATATTTCTCTAATTCACTGGTGGTGAATAGCGGCGACACTTGGCGGAAGCGACAATCTTTCAGTGTAGGAGAGTGTGTGAACAAACATTTTTCTCTCTTTCTCTCTCTCTCTCTCTCTGCCCCGGTGTGTGCGTCTGTATGTGCACTTGTGTGGGGGAAAAAAAAGGTGTCCATAGTAGTTTTGTGTGCTAACGAGTCTCGGATCTTGGGCACACTGACATAAGGAATGAGAAGACCCGGAGGAAACCGCAATCCAGAACGGCAGGGCCGTGTTCAGGGCCAGCAGGGATCCCCAATGGCACCCCCCGGGCCTTCAATGGGCTACCCGCAGCACCAGCACCATCAATTCCACCATCACCACCATCACCATCATCACAATAGCAGCTACAACAACGCCTATGACGGCTCGCGTCCCCCACCGCACAACATGCAGCAGATGCCTCACCATGGGTTCGCTCAAGGCGGTGGCGGCGGTGGCGGCGGTAACGGATGGAACAACCCGCAACAGCAAATGCCAATGTATAACCAAGGCTTCGGCCACATGGGTCCTGGCGTCGGCGGCGGCGGCGGCTACGGTGACATGAGTGGTGGTGCTGGGGGTGGTGGGGGTGGGGTCTACCAGGATATGCATGGAGGACAGTACCCGCCTTCTCCGTCTCATATGGGCGGCGGATCTCCCCTACCTTACATGCGCACTCAGGTAATGCCTGGCACTGTTCCGCATAACGGCCCGCTTCCCGGTGCATACGGTGGTCTTCCCGGCCAGGGCGCTCCAATGTCCATGGGCTACGGTCGTGGTGGACAGCCTCCAATGGATCCGATGCAACCGGGTGGCATGTACGGCGGGCCAATGGTGCACCGCGATGGATTCGTCGATAACCGATTGAGTCCTCCACCACAGATCGGCTACGGGCCCAATGTAGGTGCGCCACCTCCGCCACCTCCGCCGCCAGGACCTCCCTACGGTGGTGGCGGCCCGATGCCTGTGACGCGGCCGACCGGTGGCGGTATCGTTTACCCGGATCCCCGCAGCAAAGCCATGATGGGTGGCCCTCAGATGCCGCTCCCCAACACTGGACGCAACCCACGCATAGGCTCCCCCGATCCCGGTGTTATGGGTGGTGGTGGTGGTGGTGGTGGTGGTGGTGGTGGTGTGCCGCCTTCCCGCTTCAACCAGCAGCCCACTACAATCCCGCCAGGCATGGCACCACCGGTCAACTACATGCCGGGGCCAAATGTTCCACCAAATCAACCACCAATGATGCCTGCACCAATGGATTTTGCTGATCCTTCCCAAGTAGAGCGCTTTGATGCGAGTGCCCCAACAGAAAATCTCTACGATTTTCTACAAGAGCGCGACTTGGTTTCAGTCGACAACCTCTCCAGCTTCTTCCCCCAGGATTATGACCCGAAAAAGGACCCCCCGTTGAAGATTGCTGTCGATGGAAACTTTTGCCTTACAAGCCTACGTGACGAGCTTCGGAAGAGAGATCCGTTGTGGTTTCTGAACTCTACTCTTCCAGAGGAGCTACTGGCCTTAGTGTGGCATCATGTGGATTGGATGCGGAGCTTGAATTTGGAGCCGATTTGGGTTTTCAATGGTCTCAGCGTGAGTGGTGATGTGGAAACCTTCTTGACGACAGAGTCGGAACTGCGCGCCCGTGATGATGTGTGGAGTAAACTGGAGGATGGCATTATTCCTGAAGAGGCGGAGATTCAAACTGCGTTCGATCAACCTTTAGGCGAGGATGTTCAGATGGCTGTATCGCGCTACTTGAAAAAAGAGCTGAACGTGATGGCAGTTACTGCCCCTTTCCTGAATTGGGCCCAAATGGTAGCGTTCCACAAAGAGGGACTTGCAGATCTGCTTATGGGCCCACCAGAGATGTTGTTGCTCCCATATGATGAGATGAAGCTCATCGTGCAAATTGATGTTTCCAACACCAATGTGTATTTCTTTGATCGGGATAGAGTCTTGCGTGCACTATTCCCGTACCATGTCACGGAGACAAGCACAAAGGTGGCTGGTGATAGGCTGATGGACCTTGGCTTAATCACCGCTACTCACCCAGCACTCTCGTCTGCGCGTGTAAGTATTGACCTCACGATGCAGGGGATTTATGAAGAACTCTCCGCTGAAGTGCCCAAGTACCGCTCGATTAAAGAGTTTATCAATGCCCACGCATTTGTGCAGGACACGAACAAGAAAAAGGCAGGACTTACTATAAAGCACTCCAAAGGCCGCGGATACCTTCGCTATAGTAGTGTTTTCTCGTCAAAGGCGAAGGATTCTCCAATGGTGTACCTGGTTCGTGTACTTGAGCCGGAATTGACAAATGCGGATATGCCTACCAACCTCAGTGGGGTTCTGGGCCACCTCGTTCCGTTGTCGCTCTTTTACCTACAGTTTTCAGGACTCCTCTCGGTGCGCATCATGACAGTTGTAACCCAGTCATACCTTCGCGATGAGTGCCCTGTCTCGGATACCAAAGATTACCACGAAAAATTGGAGGTTCTTATGACAATGCGAAGCCAGATCATCGCTCAGGTGATGAAAAAGATTCTGCAGGATAACTCCTCCAAGCGTGCGGAATGTCTTTCATGGGTTCGTTGGTTCAAGCCCATCTTGGCACCCATGCATCGACCAAAAGAACTTATCGATTTGGACGAATGGGACATTGAACATAGTGAGGAAGTGAAACAACTCAGCGAAGATTGCTTGGAGGATTATAGCATCGCCTCTGTACTCACTTTTAGTACTGAGGCCGCGCGGACCATTCGGGAACAGAGTGTATGCTCCCCCCGTGAGATGCCAATTCGTTACCATGGCAAAAAGGAGACCCTTTTCGCCATTCTTCTTAAGGCGTTCGATTTTCTTGGCTACTTCTCTCACTCGACGGCGTCGCCGGAGAATGGGGCGGAGCGGATGGAGGAAGAGCGCGAAGAGGGAACTGGGCAGATGATCACCGCTGACGGTGTGCCTGTCACTGCCTCTGATAGCAACAGCAATAACTATAACGAAAGGAACGACTATGATTGCAACAACACTATGGCAGAGGATGAGACCAACGGCTACCCAACTGTGTATTTCCCAACATTTTTGATGAACACTATTAAGCACAATCTGAAATCGTTTGAGAGTGCCTTTGTGGTGCTGACTGAGCTTCTTCGTGTTGGCATAATTGGTAGTTTACCTTGTCAGTACATTGACCCGGCAAATCAGGAGCTCGCAATCCCGATGCAGGACCAGGAACCAAATTACGACCCTCGTGTATTACTGGCGTCGCGTATTGCCTGTCTCATCACTGTGCCGTACCACCGTTCGTCTGAAGACTTGCCGTTTATTTGGGCTCCCGTCTACAGCAGGCACCTGTGCGCTTTCACTGTAATGGTGCGGGCGATGTGTCGTTGTCTTCGTGAGCTGGTGGAGGTGATTGCCACCACCGTCTTTCTTGCAGGAAACAGCGACTGTGGTCTGGATGAGTTTGCCTCCTTTGCCTCACTGCTTCCCTTTGGCGAGGTTCCATCGGCGATTGGTGGACTGCTGTTGCACTACGTGCTCGTCTTTCCTGCCGACTACCAGGTAAACCTCACAACGCGACAGGAGCGCGTGGAGTACCTGCAGCAGAAGTTCCGTGATGTGCCCGATCTTGGCAAGCATCTGCGCATCGTGATGACCTTCACGCTGCAGGCGCTCTACCTCATCAACGCGTACGGACTCAGTGACAAGGGGGCGGTGGTGCCTAAGGACCTGCTGGTGGGCAACACAGTAGAGTCTACGATCCAGCTGCTGTGGGAGAAGTGGCGTGACCACATCGACGACAACCCGCCGCGCGACATCCACATGCTCTACACGACCGACGACGTCGATGAGGTGTAACAGAGCCGCGAGAGAAGGAGCGANCGCCGCGCGACATCCACATGCTCTACACGACCGACGACGTCGATGAGGTGTAACAGAGCCGCGAGAGAAGGAGCGAGAGGACGAGTGTGGGTGCGGGCGATGAAGTGTATGTGCCAGTAGTAGCAGCAGCAGCAACACGGGGAGGCACAGCACCCGGCGGCACCGCGCCGAAGCGGCCGCGAAGGGACAAGGACGAGAAGGAAGCGACACAAGACTGGGGCGGTGTGGGCGGCAACGGGATTGCCGCAGTCGACGAGCAAGAACAGACACACACACTGTGATGATGAATGGTGGGTGTGTGAGGAGGAGGAGGAGGAGGAGGAGGAGGGGGGAAACCGAAGCAAACCGAACCCAAACAAAGAAGGACAACGGCACACCAACAAGCAAGGAGGAATGAACTCCCTGGAAAACAACAACTACAACCAAAAAAAAGGAATCAAACAAACAAACAAATGAGAAGACAATGAAAAAAAAAAAAAANAAAAAAAAAAAACAAAACCAAAAAAAAAAACAAAGAAAAAAAAATGAGGGGGAATTAAGATGAAAGGGAAAGTGCTGAAGGAAAAAAAAAAAGAAAAAAAAGGCAGAAATGCGGTGCTGGCGATCTGTGGTGGCGCCAACAAGCACGCACACATATGCAGGCACACACACACGCGCAGTGGCCCGACGCAGCGGGCAATCGGCGGCCACGGCAGTGTGTATGCGTGGCTGGAGCTGGGTGGCGGTGTGGGTCGCGTGTCGCACTCCCCGCCGCGGCCCTTTTCTTAAACATGAGGCACGGAGGGGGCGAGAAGAGAGAGCCCAAGAGGGGGG